ACAAGACTTTATGTTAATAAATGCCAATTTAAATGATACAGGTGATAAAATTTTCACCATTATAGAAAAGAAAGAAATTAACAAAGATAAGTCCAATAGCTATAAAAAGAAATAGGAATGTTTGATCACACAAGACAATACCCAAGTGGTTCAGTGACTATACCTCATTCTGTCCACTAAGCTAACATATGACCTAAAGGGAAAGAAATTTTCTAAATTTTAGATCTCATCCATAAAAATACCAATTTACCTCAAAAAGCAGATGATAGAAACAAATGAAAATGAGTACCAAGCTCAATATTCACAAAGTTCTAAAGAAGCATTTATGGCAATGTTAAATGACAATACTTTACAGACTACAGAAGTGTCCTTGACAAATGCACAGACTAGTCTCAAGTAGATAAGTTTCAACCAAAAGCCACCGTCTTTTAAAGAGAAAACAATAAATCAAAATGATAAGCACTTATGATGCCTGAATCCAGTGAATATTATGTATTTTACAAATATCAACTAACATCTGGAACCGCTGTGCCAAGGTTAAAAATTAAATACATAGCAGAAGTTAAAATAAGTCATTTAAATGACTAGCTACAGTGTCATATAAAACCAGCAACAAAGCTAGAACAATCCCAAAAGCCTTCACTGCAGTTAGTCAAACTAACTTTATGAAATATAGCACCTTTCTTGATGAAATACGGATTTCTCAAAATGTTTGGTCTTCAGAAACTGGGATTCACCCTAAAACTAAGCCCCTTCAGGAGAACAATAGGTTTGCTTTTTCTTTTCAGAATTAATACTATATACCATTAATTTTATTTTAATATAGAAACTTCACAAGAACAATAAGTTTTATAGTAGGAGACATAAGAAGAGTGGCAAAGAATTTCCACTTCAAACTTAACTACTTCTCTCTTTGCAAAGTAAATAAAAAAAAGGCTACCTGCCATAATGAAATATTTTCATAACAGAGATTTAGAGGCAGGTAAAAAATCTTTAAGGACCACAAGCAGACATGGCCAGCTAGGTTTAAAACCAACTGAACCTCAAGTCCCTTTGGCAAAAAGAGTGCATGACTCACTGCTTTATAACTCGATGGAAAGATCTGGAAAATTCACTCTGCCCTAAGATTTTGCTTTGGGTTTGTTTTTTAAGGCATTTCCATCTTAATGTTGACAACTTCCACAATTTCTATGGCTTATTTATTAGGATGACAAATTAATACGAATCATGTTTAAACAAAAAGATCATAAGACATTCACATTATTTTCTTAATGGAATATAGACAATGAAATATCAATGTTCTAGCTAGAAAACAAAAAATTATGATACTGATTTTTCCTTCCCAGAAACATCTCCAAACCTGAAAGAACAGATACTAAATAATTCTATCAAACAATGAAATTCAGGGCCAGCCCCGTGGCTCACTCGGGAGAGTGTGGCGCTGGTAGCGCCAAGGCCGCGGGTTCAGATCCTATATAGGGATGGCCGGTGCGCTCACTGGTTGAGCGTGGTGCGGACCACACTGGGCCAGGGGTTGCAATCCCCTTACCGGTCCAAAAAAAACAAAAAATGAAATTCATCCCAATCTCATTAAAGTTTTATAAATATAGGATTAGGAAATTTGAAAATTGACATCCAAATTAAGCAAAAGATTCTGACACATGGATCAGAAAGACACACATACACACATTTGGAACTAAAGCTCTCTTACTTCAGCCAAATCATCTTAAGCTCCCAATCAACTAATAATCTACTGAAAAATCACCCTCTTAGTGCACTTTTATACCAACAAATTGTAGGAATAGGGATATATCAGACACATAATATAGTGAATTATCATTCCCAACCTTAGTCATTCCTCATTATATTAACTCTTCTACTTTCTAATCACATTAAAGAGAACAAAAATGTAAAAATATATCATACATTCACAAACATTCACAAGGCTCATCAAAATCACATTTACCACATGAATTTGAATTTCTTTTGAAGATATCTACTCATGTGAATGCTTGATACAAGACATTAAAGTGACCTACCCTCTCTTATGATAGTATCTCACAAAAAGGTCCCCTTCAAGGGGCAACACAAGAGAAAAGGTCTATATAAAGAGCCTTTGATGCAAATTATCTTCCTTTTTTCTCATCTTTGATGTTCATCATTTAAAAATCACAAACAGATTTACTGTTCTAATGCAAATTAAAGTAAAAGAAAACATCTACAGTATTTTTATTAGATTTTTACAGTGTACCTACTACTATTTCTTGCCAAATATTTCTGGCATTCGTTAATTTATTCTTAATTGACTAGACCAATACAAGAGTATACATACATGTATGCATATATTTATCTTTATATGTATACACACACACATATATATATAGACAATATGTGTCTGCTTTAGAGCAGGGACATTGCTTTTATCCCATTCAATGCCCATCTTTCAAAAAAGGTGGATTTTCAGGTTTACTACACAGAAATACCTTTGTTGTAGCAACAATTAGTATCAAATAACCTTAGAAAACATAAGCAAGAGAAAAATGCTATGAAAGGGCAATCTAGCATTTCACAGCTTCTGTGCTCCCTTACTCCACCCAGTCTTCTCCGCTCAATGGCTGTTCATAGCATCCACAAATATTAGCCCATTTTTTAAAAAAGAGGTTGTGGGGAGGTACCGAAATAGGGTTTGCTCCATCAAAATCATCATATACAGAAATATTTTAAGTGAAAAATTGAGTTCCTTTCTCTGATTTTTAAAAATATGCCAAGCTTTAAATTTGTTTTAGATCCTCCCCTTGTGAACAATCCAAACAATGATCATAATAGATCATGAATAAATACTCTAAATACAGATTAGCCTTCTGCTTTAATAAAAACTGCAATTTGCAACTACAAATTATTTTAAAAACTGTGTCCTGAAAGATAACCATTAGAGATTAAAAGCTAGCTAATGCCTTAAAACCAAACCACAATTATTTAAGTAAAAGCTTTTAATATATATTCAACATTCTATCACTACGACGTACCCAAGCAGGAAATTTTCCTGATTAAGAGATTGGACCCCGCAGCAATCAAGCCCTGCTGCAGCGAAAAAAAAAATTAAGCAAACACTACTGTGGCAAAGGGAAGGGATGACATTATTACTGGTATGAAAGGCCCAAGCACGATCTCCTCCGCCCAAGCCTCAAAAAGAAATTCACACAAAACAACCCACCGCCCAACAAAAACAGAATTGCCAAAAATGGCACAATTTTTTTTTGTTTAGCCTTTAAAAGGTTATAAATCTCAAGGATTGTGTGCTTAAAGTAGAGGTCAGAATAACAGTAATATCTTTATTTTCTCCTGATTGCCTCTTAAGGAAAGGAGGGGAGGGACCTTGGCATGACATCGCCCATTGAGAGTGAGACCTCAAATCTGGTTATTCTCTTCAAAAGCACGATTTCTTAACCAAAAGACTGATATAAATTGGACCCAAACCCCAAACCCAAAAGAAAATTTCCTGCTCTCCTCCCAAGCAGTTTCTTGCTAAGTCACCGAAAAAAGGCAGAACAACAAATAAAGCCAAGGCACCTTGCTCTCTCGTATCTCAGATTATGAAAACCTCCTCCTCTACTGTTACGTTTAGAGGCAAAGTCAAAATCTGCCCACAACCTCAAAGGCACTTTCTCACCTGGGAGGCTAAAGAGGTTACATATACACAGGGACTGCCGTTTCTTAAAGGAGTGGCGATATCAGATTAGATGAAGGGGAATGGCAGAAGGCCTCGAAGCTGTGTTAACAACCTCAAAAGACAACTCCTCCTCAGTGGGTGCAGAGGCTGGACCACTCCACTGGGGAGCCCAGGAGGCGGTGGGTCATCCTCCTCAGGTCAACCCATCGTAAGGGCAGGCTGGGGACGGAACGTCTGGAAGGCCCTGTGGGTGCCCAGAGGTGCGGAGCTGAGCCCGGTCCCCGCGCCGACAACCGCGGGCGGGGTGGGGACTGCGGAGCTCGCCTCTGCGGCCAGGAAGAGGAGGAGGGCCGAGCCCTTTCCCCAAGATCAGAGAGCGACCTGCTCCCCACGCCCTTCCTACCCGAGAATACTTTTCTTGCTAAGTCACCGAGGGACGAGGGCGATCTCTTCTCGGGGAGGGCCGCGGTGCAGCGGTAGATGCCCGGCGCCCCCCAAACCCCGACCGCGGAGGAGGGGAGCGAGGGCAGCGCCCTACCCGGACAGGCCCCCCTCCTCCGTGTCTCTCACTCAACGGCCGTCGCGGCCGCCATTTTGAGAGCGAGGAGAGAAGAAGAAGGAGGAGGCGGCGGCAGGGGGAGGGGAGAACGGGAGGGAGGGGACCGGCGCAGCCACATCGTCAGGCGGCCGGGCCCAGCCCGCAGCCGCCCGAGCGCGGTGGAGGAGACAGAGGGGCGCGCGCAGACCCTCGCCGCCTTACCGGAGCGCTGCACCGCCGCCTCTGCAGGGCCTCTTCCGTCCTTCACTCCCATCCACCGGCGGGGAAAGGGGGGAGGGACAGGGAAGGGAGGAAGGAGGGAGGGAGGGAAGGAGGGAGGGGGAGGATGGCGCGTTGGGCCCGGTCCCGGGGAGGGGGAGGGGAGGGGAGCAGGCGGGCTCCTCAGCCGTTCCGGGGCTCGAGCCCAAGCCCGGCGCTCGCGGTTCTCTCGCTCGCGCCCGAGCGCTCCTCTCTTTCTCTCTGTCGCTCCCTAGCCCCCGGGTCGCTGCTCGTTCGGTCGCCCACTCGCTATCTCGGCCGCCGGACTCCGCCGCCGCCCCGCCGCTCCAGCTCCGTCTGTCACAGGAGCTGCCCCAACGCCCTGACGTCACCGCGCCGCCGCCGCCGCCCCAGACCCGCCAGGAAGAGGGAGGGGAAGGGAGGGGAGGGGGCCGGGAGCGGAGGCCGGGCTGCGGCGCATGCGCCGGGCTGGGCCGGGTCTTGCGCCGCGCTGCCTTCCGCCTAGCGGGAGGGCTGCAGCGGCGGTGCGGCTTAGCCGTATTGAGGAGCCGGAGGGCGAGTTTGCGCACGAGGCTCTGTTTCTCACGCTCATCACGCCTCTGTAACCTTGGGAAGTGGTCTTTTTTCGTAGACCGTCGCCTTTTGTGGCCCCTCACAAACTCTAGTTCTGCTCATCTCCCCGCCCTGTTTTTGCCCCCGTGCGGCGCTTCCCCGGAGACAGCAGGGACCCGTTGACACCCGTGCATTCCGGTCCTCGGTAGGCTCGAGAGTCAGCGGAGCCCGGGTCTGGCTGTTGCCCCTTCTGCCTCCGGTCTGCGAGATTATTTCACAGGTTGGGAGAAGAAAGGGGAGAGGACTAGGTTGGTTGGCTTGGGAGGAAGAGCTGTTGAGGTTCAAAGACAGATGGAATGCCTTAATTGTCTTCATTTTTATTATAGGTTTTTGATTCAGAGGATTCGCTTTTAGAAGTGATTCAGCTATTATTTTCCTTAGTCACACACACATGCATCAGAGACTCTCTAAGTCTCGAAACTGAATGACGCCCAAAGAAAGACCAGGAACTTTATCCCTACAAGGGATGTCTGTGTGTATGTTTAATAAATTATGGGCTGGAATATTGATAACAAAGAAGTCTTGGGGATTTGTACTCAGTTTATGCTACGCAAAGACACTTGATTTTAGAAAGGCCAGATTTGGGGTTCTGAATAATTCAATATGGGATATTCTTTTAATAAGGTATCAAATGAGGTTATTCCATCATTTATTTGTATTGTCCAAGGAAACTCCCTGAAACATAGGTTTAGGCTTGTATTTATTGATCTTATTAATTCCCTTTATGTAGGTAAACATATACACTGCTTTTTGGACCTTGGGTAAATTACCATACCTCTCTTTGGCCTCGCTTTCTCTATAAAATAGACCTAATATTTACTTGTAAGGCTTTTGTAAGAATTTGAACGGAGATTCTGCACGTGTTAAGTATCCCGCCTTAGTGGGGACTCAGTTGCTTCATACCAAAACAAGTTTCCTTTTATCAGGAAAGGTTGTCTTTATGCCTGGAAAGGTTCAAAAGGAACATGAGCCAATTGTTTGGAGGGTTTGGGTTTTCACCTTCACGAAGGCAGGGGATTAAATCAAATGATCCCTGGAAGGTCTTTACCAGGTTTACTGTTCTAGGATCCTCTAGTTAGATGAATACAACAAGATGAGGCATAGATGTTTGGTCTGTGCTCTTACTTAAGTCCAATAACAATCAATAAACATACAATAAATTAACGTCCTTGTTCTAACAATCCACTCTCCTTTCATTTTTACCTTTTAAAAATATGTATTATTGCCTGATATCATGCTAGTTAATGTTTAATCAGCTGAGTAAATCAGTTCTTTTTTACGCGAATGCTCTAAAAGTCAACAAAATCACGAAGAAAGAAATCAGAAACACGTTGATAAACACTAATTCAATACAAATATGTAGCACTAACCTTTATAAACCTTGAGCTCACAGACTCATATATTCAGAAAACTTTAAAATCTGTGTTATGTAACTATGAACTAAACTGAGGTCAGATTTTATTTCTATAGCAATCTTCAGAAAAACAACTTTCCCCCATTGGGGGAAGGTATAAAAACTTTCTCCCTGGATTATGATTTTTCTGAACAGAAAACTGTGTTATATGTGTTATATGCTTAACTCGATGTGAGTCAATGTGTTACAGTACTGTGCACTTTCCTTTCAGTTAGCTGCTAAGATGATAGATCCATCTTAATAAAGACTTATCTATTGAAAATGGAGAATTAGGACATTCATGCTATCAATCATAATTCATAAGGATTTATACAGAACCTACTATATCCATCCAGGAAACATTTAATAATCGATATATTCGATGATTTTTCTTGAAAAAATATTGAGTATAAACATCTGTTTTACTTAAGACAATCTAACAATCTCCCCATTCATTTGAAGTGCAAATCTTTATTTTTCCAGCAGACATTTTCAAAATGGAAACATTTGTTTCAGTTGCTTTAGTAAAATTAGTGTCAATGTAAACAATTCTACAAATAAGCTGACTGGAAGAAACACTCCAAAAATATTGCCGTTGGGGAGAGGACAAAATATCTTCTGAAAGTGTCTCCAGAGCAAAAATCTTACAATGAACACAAATGTTAAAAAATTACTTTGAGAATTAATCTGTCCTCTATAGTTTGTAGGCAAATGTACATTGTTGTGTGTGCAAATTTGATAGAAAGCAATGAGTAAAGGTGAGAAAGTAGCTTTTTTTTTTTTTTTTTTTTTTTTTTTTTTTTTTTTTTTTTTTTTTTT